ATCTTTTAAAACGCTAGTTAATATAATAGATTGAACAAGTAGATAAATGGACATATAAATTGATGGCACCACATATAATTTGGATCCTCATCTCATTTGAGTTTAAAATTGAAGAAATTATACACTAAAATTCTAAGATGCTTATTGAGATGCTACTAGTCACCCTCAAACCACCTTACTCCTTCCCTTTCCAACTCCTTTCATATGGATGAATGGCTTGTCCGAACGGATTGTAACTTCTGAATTAAAGACTTCTTTCATCGATATTTAAATCCACTAATCGTTAATTGTAGGCACCGAGTCAACAGCATGAACGGTTCGAAACTATAAAATTCTACTTCCTGCCCAGAGTCCTCGATTCTTTTTTCTATGTATTTAAATTTAAAATTTTAATAAAAATAAAAATGAATTAATAAAATGGGACAGTAAACGAATCTATTATAAAACCACCCAGTTGTCATCCTTACTTGAAGAAGATTGTGTGAGGACAAAATTGCAATAAGCCCGGAGCAGAGAGTAATTCATGGAAATTTTATAAGTACACCTCAATATTTTTATTTTCATTTCTAGTATTTAGATTAGGAGTAAAATTGTAAATTTATTGCGGTGTATTTATTAAAAATGTATTTTAAATGTGTGACAATATACTTGATGTTCGAGCTCCATTATAATTAGTTTTTGAGAAAAAATGTATTTTGTAGTAATAATTTTTCGAAAAATGTGTGGTTAAAAAAAGGAAAATTTTAAATTTAAGTATAATTATTATTTGTTGAAGAATATGTGGTTGAAAAGAAAAGAAATAAAAATACCTTTTTGAAATTAATGAACCCAAACATAGACATAATATGGCGTAGCAAGTAAATTTTGTGGTGGTAATATAATTACCCTATATCCTTTTCATATTTATTAAAAAATGTATTTTAATTGTGGTGTCAATATACTTGATGTTCAAGCTCCATTATAATTACTCATTCGTTCTAATTATATAGGCTAAGTTTCATTTTTCTCTTGTCCCAAACATATTGGCTTGTTTCCTAATTTAAAATACTTTAATTTGTTCTTTTACCAATATACCATTATTCAATTTTTCCCACTTAATATGCCAATTTTTTTGAAATTATCCACATACACACATTTTTCCGACTTCTTGAAAATATGGAAGAACTCTCATTTCTTCTTCTTCAAATTAAATCATTCAAATTCTTTATTAATTCCAACAATAATTTACTATAACATACTGAAAATTAAATAGGGGTAAACTATGAAAAATCTTAACAAAAATTAATTTTTCAATCACATTAAAGAAGATTTCTTAATCTGTGTGGAAAATGAAACAAGTCTATACAATTGTGACGGATTGAGTAGTTTTTGGGAAAAATGTATTTTCTAATAATAATTTTTTTAAAAATGTGTGGTTGAAAAAGAAAGAATAGTTTAAATTTATACATAATATTATTTTATTGAAGAATGTGTGATTAAGAAAAGAGAGAGAAATGTATTTTAAAATTAATGTAGTCCAATCAGAGACATAGTATGGTATAATAAGTAAATTTTGTGATGGTAATATAATTACTATATATCCTTTTCGTATTTATTAAAAATGTATTTTAATTGTGGTGTCAATATACTTGATGTTTGAGCTCAATGATAATTCTTGTTGGGGGGAAAACGTATCTTGTAATAATAATATTTTGAAAAATGTGTGGTTAAAAAGAACGAAAAGTTTTAAGGCCTCGTTTAGGAGGGATTTTGAAAATTGATTTTTTGACTGTTAGAAGAAAAGTGGGGTGCACCTGTGAGAGAAGAAGTCAAAAATTACGGCTGAAATAGTGAAATAACGGTCAAAAAATCAATTTTTGGGGGTAAAAAATCCCTCCCAAATAGGCCTTAAATTTATTTGTAATATTATTTCATTGAAAAATTTGACTGACAAGATTGAGAAAAATGTATTTTAAAATTGGTGTAGCAATTACCCCGTATCCTTTTGGAGTGGCAACAGTACTAATATTGAGAATTGTTTCGCGCCTAGACAAATTCACAGGCACACACGTAAAGGGCATGAAGATGAATACAAAGCGAAATTGCAGAGAACCAACGCCTTTTTCCAATGCTTCAAATTTATCAAATCCAGGTACTTATCTTAATTTAATTTTAACTCTTATTTCGGGTTTAATATTCTTCAAAACTGTCAAATAACTTGTATTTTTCGATATTGATACTCGTTAAGCAATTTTATTTTTTTAATCTCCAACTCTGTTATATGAATCAACTCGAACTTTAAATTTGATGAAGTTATCTTATTGCCATCGCATCCAACTCGTTTAGAAATAATAGTAGGAAATCAAATTGATTTTATTCCCGAGATTCGAGTGTGGGTGGAAATCATTGAGTTATTATGAATTAAAATTGCATTTCTATTCATAAGATTGAATTCTATTCATTTACTTCAAAATATAAATTGTATAGGCTTATGTTTTGTAATTGATTCAATCGTGTTTGGAGTAAAAGGTGAAATTGGATCGTTCTTCTTTTGGCTTTTGTGTAAAGCTATTATTCTCCAGTACTCAAAATCGTATTGATAAATTTAAAATATAGAAACACTCTCTGCTGGATCTTAGTGAATTAACTTCAGCGGTGTCATTATTCTAGTCCTTCGTGATTTATCTTTTTATTTTTATTTCTTGAAGATCTCATGCATAGCTTCTGCAACCAGTTTTGAATATATGACAGAATAAAATTATACTAAATTAGAACTAGTAAAATGCAAGTAGTATGAGCGATGTGATATGAAATAATGTACAAGATGCGCTTTAAGTACTTTCAACTCTCTTATCATAAATTTAGTTGAAGAGTGCAAATTATTATTGTCTGTAGACTCTAAAGTTATTGTTGTCATGAACCTTATGCCTACTGTAGTTATCTCAGCTAATATGCATATTTGCAGGGAACTTACATCCTAATATGAATATTAATTTTTAAATTTTTTCTGCTTTTTGCTTGAGGATGCAAATTTGTGAGTAGACGACTCCTAATGCAGATTGTTGAATATTGATAAAGGGCTATTTTAAGGCTTGCAGTTTTTTCTGTCATGGAACTGAGTAGGCTTATTTATTTTTCTATTTCATGTGGGCTAGATTTTCCCTTACCAACTCTAAATTAATAGCAGTCTCATATTTCATTGTCTCTTATTGTCTAAACTTAACTTTCATGTGTATAGTTTTTGGATCATCACTGATTTCATTTTGAATCTTTGTTTATGTTTGAACTTTAAGGTTCAAAAAAGCAGCATTAAGCTTTTTGCCAAACGGGATTTTGGTTGCAAATGTATTAACTTGTACTGATTAACAAGATTCTCGTTTGATCTGCTGCAGATTGCCGTGGGGTTTGCCTGATGAGCATCACCTGGAAAGATGAACAACATCCATCTTTCATCAATTTCATCTCCTCCTTCCTCAATGCATATTCTTTTCGTTTAAACTTTGTGCCAATTGCTCCAGTAACTCTCCTCCGGTTCTTCCTAACTCATGATATATAAGTTTAGGGCAGCACACTAATCCTTGCAAATATTTGATTTGCAGGATTTCATCTTTAACTGTGGTGGTTTGTCAGTAGCTTTCTTATTTGTGACTAATTGGGATTGCAACGACACTTCATCCACCTTCAGCAGGTTACTGCACTTTTTCTTACTCAGGTTTTAATTTTCTCTCACTTAATTTACCTCAGTATGTTCTTGGATTTCACCATCTATTAATATAGAGTTCAGAGACTAAATGGGCAGTTTGCACACTTCTATGTGGTTGTTACCCTCCCGTCTAAGGAGCAGAATGATTCTTTCATACGCTCTTATTTCAAGTGAGATAAGATTCTCTTATTCGTTGAATATCATTCTTTGCTATGTGGTTCAATATGGACTAAGAACTTTAATTATTGTTTGTTTAGATATGACATGAAACTTGGCAAGCCAACGTTTGTGCCAGTACAGGACTTGGAGATGGGCTTTGAGAAGATTGTAAATATAGCACAAGCTCGAGGGAGTAAGTCTGCAATTTCAAACTTCATCATACAGAATCATTTACTACGTTATTTGATTCACGATTATGTATTGCAGTGCGTCGTGAGAAATGGCTTAATTTGTTATGTAACTATTGCAGTGTGTAAGCGGCAGGATGCTATAGCAAAATTGAGATCTGAGGTTTGTTGTTCAAACCTTTTCTCGCTCTTGTATTAATTTTTTATTCGTTGTAGTGAGCACCTAATACTGTGTGTCATGCTTTAAGAGGGAAAAATCAGTGCAAGGGATGGACGTCTATCTCAAAGTGGTCACGTCAATTCCTGGGATCGATAGCCATGACGCAAATGCGGTACAAAGTTTCTTTCCCATATTACATTTTTACTTTCACAATCTCTATTTTACTAATCCTTCCAAACAAGTGCAAATAATAAAAATAAACCAAAAAAAAGTAAAAAAAAATAAATAAAAATTGAGCGAACAATTCCCTCTTGATAACTTCAGAAGTAACAGAAGTCTAAAATGTCACAGCTCCTTTTCATTACTTATTATTCATCTTCGACTATTTTTAAGTTAAAAATCACTTTGAATTCAATCTTTGCTTCATTTATCAATCAAATACGATGTTATTGTACCCAGTTTTTTCTGAACTATTTAATATCAAGGTCTAAGACCTTTTTAGAAATTTGTAGTCCTATTTATTGTAGGGATAAAGCTACTCAAACAGGTGAAAATGACAGGATTTGAAAATAGGTGTTACGTATCAGCGCCCGTCTGGTCTCTCTCTCTCATATTTTTGATTGGCCAATTAATGTTTGACACGTGTCTCCTTTTTTAAAATACCGATCCCCAACCCTGTTTGTTTAGCAAAGTTATTGTAGTCGTTCACAAAAAGAAATTCATTCAACATGATTACAATCTTAACAGATCTTCAGCTTTTATGGTAGCATGCCCAAAGTTCAGAACTTCAGATGGACTAAACATTTCGTTTCCATGCTATCTGAACACTAGTAAAAGCTAGTGTAGGAATTGATCGTAATAGCCCCATTATGAGCATTTTTCCTTATTATTATCTAGCGTTGTCGAGTTTAGGTAGAATTAAAAGGCCATGGAGGTTTATATTTCTCTATACATAATGTATCTGTATTATTTCTTACTACATGGAAGGGTAACTCTACTGTTGGGGCTTTTGTGTTTCAGCTGAATCAAGCCATTGGTTCAATCGAAGCAATAGCCAAAGCATCGAAAGAGTACATTTTGGAGAATACTGACCTTTCAGCTGAGAAAGCTGAAAAAATCACGAGGTTTTTCAGAGATCCAAAGTATTATCTTGGTCCCAAAATCAAATAATTTTTGGACTTAAAATCTTCAAGGAAATTGACCCTGGTATAAATTTGATCTTGTCAAAATGTAAATTTGAGATCTTGAATCACTCAACTCACTAACAGCGTTTAATGCCCCTTTGGTGTCATTGACATAACAGATGTGTGAATCCAGATTTAATACTCAGAATGGAAATTTTCGCTTGCCGATATCTGTAATCTGCTTCCTGTAATGGTAGATTGGAGGACTCTTTATCCTAGTGTATTCTGGAAATAATAGAAATTTTCGTACTCACGTCTTTATGGTAGAAAAAAAAATCCAACAGAGTCGGAGGAGCAATTGTTAAGGTCTCGGTCACAGCCAAATACCATAATTTCAATGTCTTGAAGCATAGAAGTAATTCCATCACGCATTAATGTGTTAAATGCATTTAAAATACAGTATC